ATTTTTTAAAATACGCACACTTGTATGCGTGTGTGTTGTTGTAAGGCTGACGTGCGTATGGTAGTAAAGGATATGTATATAAAACTTGCGCCCTATCGTCAGGTGCGCCCTATGTGTGTGTTAAATACAGAAATGGCACACATAAATGAGACTGCGCCTTTTCATACGGTGCGCCTTATGGTCGTGAAAATACGGTATGTAGCATATATTGTACCCATACCGTACTCATACTTTACGATAGTAATTTTGTACAGAAAGCAGCTATATTTATAGTATTTTTAGAGCTTATTACAAATGCACTAGCAGCATTTGAAGTTCTACATGTCCATACTGTCATTTCCATATCAGATATCATTAATTTACATTATTTCGTTTATTTGATAACAGTTACTTGGAGACAAAACTCAGTTTAAAATATTTGGAAACAGTAAATTGACCCGATGCGACAGATTTAGTACATTTTTTCCTGATTTCTTTCTTTTACAGAAGGCCAACTCACTCGATTGCAAGACCTTGGCTTCAGGAAAGAGGACTGCATAAGAGCTTTGATCCACTGTAAAGGTGAGAGAATTCTCTTAGCTTGTCACTTAATTCTTGAATCAATGTTGTAATAAAATGGCACAATTGTTTTAACAATATATCGTCCTCAGGCCAGCTGGATCAGGCAGCCACTTGGCTCCTGGAGAACGCAGAGAACATCTCCGGTCTCTCCAGATCTAGGTGTGACTCTGATTCCAGCAGCCACTCTGCTGCTCTGTCTGGGGTGGAGGTGAAAGCTGAGAGCGTCTGCATCTGTTTCATTGATGATTGTCTGGACTGTGACATCCCACTGGCTGAGATCACCTTTTCTAGTAGGTCTTTAATGTGTGTGAGGAAACAAATGTATCAACCACAAAAAGACTGATAGTCGACACCACAGTTTTAGGATAATTAAAAAGAAAAAAGAAACGAAGAATAAGAAAGATCAGCAGTCTGTCTGTCTGTCTGTTATTGCAGGGCTTTATGTACTACAGCGCATCGGCTCAACACAGGAAGGAAACTCCAGCTTTACTCTGTCTGGAGACTATTACAACAGGGAGCTGTCAGGTAAGACAACAGCCAGCACATACAAATACAACAGGCAACCATGGCAACTCCTCAGACAGAATGGAAAAATGACATCATGGTTAACTGCTTAATTGTTTGGTTGAATGGAGAAAAAAACATCTGACTTAAGAAAATAATTGTGGAGTATTCTCCTTAAATCAGGTTTCTTTGAGTTACTATCATATTATAGTATTTGATGTCATTTGGAGCACAACAAAATACATTTTAATTGTTCTTACTTTCATGTGTTAGAAGTTTATCAATGACCAACTTATAAATCAGTAAGTATGAATCAGGCCAATATTTTAAAAGGCTGATGGGACTTTGTGTTTGTGTGGCTTTTCACTAGAATTCCAAATGCAATAAATTGGGAAAGTGAAACTGTGTGTTGGTCTTTGTCTCCAGGTTGGGAGCCCTTCATCGAGCCCTGGCCGTGCTTCCTGTCCTGGCAGCACCAGGCGGCTGGTCGTCTTCATCCTCCACGACTCAAAATGGCGGTGCGAGCCAAGCAGAGACTGGACATTAACATCACCTCTGTCCTGCTGGGTGAGACAATGTGGCAACAATGTTGTATCCCTTAGAAATATTCTGCATCACTTTGAAACAACACTGTTCTGCTGAATATTTTGATTTGTAAAAGTATAATTGACTTCAAATTTGTGTTTTCAGAACAATACAACACCACCAAGAGCTCTTGGATAGCTGACTACTGTCGTGAGGAAGAACAGAGCCAACAGGTGTCACCTCCACCCTGGATGGGATCTTCAGTGGATCCACCCAGCTTTGTGCAGAGTGAGTGCTGTCTGTTAACGTGTCTGTGTCCGAACTGTTGGCAGAATGTTCTCAGAAAGGACAGCTTTTATGTTGGTACTAACGTGTATGTGTAGTAATGAATGGGAGAACAGATGTGCGATGATCTACCTCTGCATGTCATTTTCAACACTCTCTTTACACAGCTTTACACAGTATTTCAAAATGTGTTTAGGAAACACTCAGCCCAAACTTGAGACATTGATATGTAAGATCTAGTATGAGTTTAATTTTCTTCGCTTTAGGACCTGTGCTCTGCTAATAAATAAGCTTTACTTTCAACAATAAAATAATCAAACCATCTCACCTTTAACAACCCAAACTCATCATCTACGGCCTTTTGGATTTTAATATAAACCTACTGTATTTGCGGTGTCTCGGTTGCTATGCTCAACAAATACCATTAGCAGTGTGATCTCTTGGATTGAAGCATGAATATTCACTTTCTGAAAAGGTACTGATTTGCAGTATGGGGACTAGTGATGGAGAATGATGAAGGTCTAACCCTGTTGTGTGTTCCTTCTGCATGTGTCTCTGTTGTGTTCCTCTGTCTCTCCAATGTCAGGTGCTCCTCTTTCTCACCTTAGAACAAGGAGCACAGCCAGCTTGACATGCCTTGAGCAGCAAAATCGCTCCAGAGGTACAGTTTGGAGTTTGACAGCCCAGTCGGTGGCTGACTGTACAGTTGTGCTCATATGTGTACAGTACATTCCCTAGCAGAACTTTTGAAATATGGGCCGTTTGTTTTGCAAGATACAAAGTTTTGGTTAGGCCATTTTTTTGGCCGTTTTTTTGTCCCCCAAAAATTGGAAGAATTGGATACATGACAAGGGCAACAATGAAACAGTCCTGATTAAAAGCTAACACCATTGAAGGATTGGCCCAACAATATACACTCAAATTGACACATAGAAGTTTAAATGGCTATTAAGTGTAAATATCCACACCTTAATGTTTTTGCTTTTAATTAATATAAAGAAAGTCTGTGTTTGAAAAGTCAGTGAGATTCCAGGCTCTTAACAAACACCTGCACATTTATCCAATGGTTTGCTGACTTTGCTGGATTCTCAGTCAAAGGAAAGGCCAAAAACAAGTAAGGATACAATCAATGGGGACATATTGTGTGAAAGATTACTTCTTTAGGGTGTCTTCCTATGCCTTGGTGCCAGTTTTAACAACTAAGTATATGTTTTATAACCTGCCAAAATCTTCTGCTTTATGACATCACAAAGTCTTTATACTGCATATGTCCTACAGCTGGTTTAATGGCAGCTTATCTGCTCAGTCTCTCATGGTTTTTTTAAAGAATGGTACACATTTTACAATATCTGCCAGGGCGTGTAAACCTTTGAGCACAGCTGTACGACAGGAGTCATTCGGTCATCGAACACTGCTGTCACCCAATAGTTTTAAGGGTTCGTCTGTTATCCTCTTGTCCATTTTTGAGCGCTTCACTCCACATACAGGGTATATGGTTGAATCTAAGTCTATTGCCTGGGGTGGAACTATTATACCGAAAAATTAATTCAAATTTTCCAGGCCATTTAGATGATTTTAGTAATTATTTATAGTTATTGGATTTTTTTACAACATTGTGCTGGACCTTATAGGTACAAGACAACATTGTCTCTGCATGTATGTTTTCCATGTATGTTTTTTATTTTATTTGCATTTGCCTGAGCAGTTTGAAACTTTGTACACATTCTTTTTCCCTCCCTGTGTAACTGTTGTTCATACTGTGGGACAGAACAAATGATCAAATGATTACTGTCATCTGGTTTCAGTAGGTTATTGCACACTGTTATGCCCCCGTTGTGGGGCATAACAGAAAGAAAAACCTCAATTTTTATTTGTCTGAGTAATTATAGCACTTCTGTTCATATACTGTATCAACATGTGGTTTAAAAACAAAAGAATAGTAATATTTTTTTAAAGGAGGGTTTACATTCATGAACTTTCAAATTACTAAGGAGTTTTTTTTATCTATAACTTCACTCTAGAAGTTTACTCATTGGTATATAACATCATCATTTTGTGATATACAGCACTACAATGAAAGTCTGTATACAACAAAGTGCTGCAGTAAGTGACCTTGTGTTTATTGTTTTCATTTTATATTTTGTGAACTCAAACACAAATCATGCTGTCGCCAGTATGCTGTAAAGTTTGCATTTTTTGTTATTGCTGTATTTCAAACTGTTTATTATGCTCTCACTAAGTGATCACTTTATTAGGAACACCTACTTATTGATGCATTTAAAAAGTTGTGCATTCAGTCAATTATAATGGAGGAAAAGTGAAAATCAGGCAGGGTGTTGAAGAACATGTACTGTGTTGTGGTTGTTGGTGCAGTAAAGATATGGTGTAGATGATCTACAACAGCTGAGACATCAACAGACTTTACCTCTTTGAGCCAAAAAGAAAAAAAAAAGTAAGGTTATGGTAAGGACCAAATCACTAACACTGCAGTCAGGATTTACTTTTTACCTATAGTATATTGGTGTTCCTAATAAAGTGCAGAAGGACGTGATGTTGGTCCAAAGCCAAGCCTCAAATGATCTAATACTGGCTATGTGTTGTTAAAGGTGTTATCAGACATTGCTGGTTTGGCTGCTGGATGTCTTTTCTGTTTTAAACCACGTTGAAGCACACATATTCTCCATCTTACAAATTATAAAATCTGTCTCAACAGATGTCAAACTGTCCAAACGGAGACAGCCCTTTGTGCCATACGCCCTGCGAAACCATACAGGATGTACAATGTGGTTTGCTACTCTGACTACGACCCCAACAAGGTGAGAAGAATCATAGCTTTGTTGGGAATGATGTAAAGTATGGCAATATTGCAGTTTTCTTTAATTCATTGCCAGCTGCTGCCATAAAGTTAAAAAGTGATTTTTTTGTGTGTGTAAGAGAAGTTAGAATAAGTATATAATGCATAATTTTTGGAGATCTCGGATGATTTTTTTTATGTTCACCTGCAGGGTAGCGCTGTCGCACAGCAGTAGCGCCGACTCCATCTCAGATATCCACAGCACAGGAACTGATGACCCACACAATGTGAGCCAGTGGAGGGAGGTCTTGCCCGGAGAGGAGATTCCATTTGAGTTTGAAGCCCGAGAGAAACTCAGACATCGGTAAAACAGTGGTTTGATCTCTGTAAACAGTCTGGATGTCATTTCTTTAATTTGGTCAATGTTGAACATTTTTAATTGAACTGATTTACACAGACTGTATGAGTAAATGTGTTATTGTTTTCCACATCTGTGCTTGAATTAATCGATTACTTCCACATTCTTTTAAAGACATACTCACGAGCTGAAACTGCACCAGCTGCTGGTTCGAGTGTGTGGATGGGAACAAGTCAAGCCGGTGTCTGTAGACAAAGTTGGTGTTTTCTTCCGCTACGCAGCTCCAGATAGAAACAACTCTTCCAGCACTGTGAGTTTGAAATCAAACAACATTTATGTGAATCTCTTTTATGTGTTTCAAACTTTAATTTCTTTTTGCTCCTTAACCTAAAGGTTGGCAGTCCAATAAGCAGAACTAACATCATCCACCCACATGTTTATGTGAGTACAGAGTCCTGTTTGAGGTTCATTTAGTGTTTATTAATCCTAGTGATGCAGAATTATCTGTGGGCACAGCAGCAGTAAAAAGTATGAATGCAGTCGTAATGGGAAAATCTAATCACAAAAGTGCCCTGAAATAGAACATTGGTTAATGGAATATTTTTGCAAGCCCCTGCTTATTAAGACTATTAACATAAATAAGACTGTAGTTGAGCCCCTCCTGCTCATTCACAGCTTCTGCTATAAAATCCCCACTGATCTAAATTTTTCAAACACTTTTATTTTTGCACAACTTCTCTTCTCAATAAACAAAAGAAATAAAATATACTAAAAGGCATAGACTGAAAAAATGATTTTGTTAAGTGAATGATTTTATTTGTAATTTTTCTATAAATTTAAATCTTCTTGTGGTTTTTATTTATGTGTGGGAATCTTTTTGCCCCCCACAGTTTTCTGCCCTGCCTCCAGTCAGGGTGGTCTTCTCTATCACAATGGAGGGCAGTGCTAGAAAGGTCATCACTGTACGCTCTGCCCTCATGGTAAAGAACCGACTGGATGTTCCCATGGAGGTCAGACTTGACAGCCCTTCAGCACCTGACAGTAAGACACCACTCTACTGTATTTACTTTCAAATATTTAAAGCTAGTAGCTTTGTTGTTGTTTCGTTAAATAATGCCATTTTCGCAATAATGAGAGTTTAGCACAGAAGCTGGGAAAATTGCTTATTTATTTGCTTATTTTAGAAATTGTTCATTGTCTTTGTTTTTGTAGAACCGGTGGTGCTGCCCCCTATCATGCCTGGTGAGGCCTTAGCCGTCCCACTCCACCTGACATCCTGGAGACTACAGGCTCGGCCCAAAGGCCTTGGTTTATTCTTCTGTAAGGTTCCCATCCACTGGACCAGTGTGGAACGGTACGGAGACGTCAACAGCAGTAAGAGGGAGTGCCAATCAGCGGACTTCAATGTCAAGCAAAACTTCAGGTAATAGCCATCTCTTGTGATTGTTTTCCTTCAAAGTTGTACAATTTTCCTCATCCTTCTGTTTTTGCAGGTTTTGTGTAGTTATTAAAAAGGAGAACTACCCAGACCAGCAGCCTGCTAAAACAGTCTCTGGCAGTTCAAAGCAGATCTATCGACAGCCAGGCCACACCGTCTACCTGCTGCCCACAATGGTGCTGGCCAACCTGCTGCCATGTGACATCAACTACTACATTAAAGGAACCTCCATTAAAGGTTCACTTAAGCCTGGGAAAGAAGCTGTGCTTCATGGTGCCGACACCTCTCAGAACATGGAGCTAGGTCAGGATGCTGGCTCATGGTGTGGTTTTCGTCTTCTGACGATTTTGTACGAGTGTTTCCTCACAGCTGTTGTTGACTTCGTGTCCCTCAGGAGTGCTGCTGGAAAACTTTGCTGTGTGCAAAGAGCTGCTGATTCCTCCTGGGACTCAGAACTACGTGGTACGCATGCGGTTGTATGACACAAACAAGCGTCTGCTCTGCCTCACTATTCGCATTGTGCTGCGAGCACAGGGGGCGCTCAAGATCCTCATCTCCGCTCCATACTGGCTCATCAACAAGACTGGTAATGACTGTGTTCTAAGAGTTTATTGTAGTTGTATATATGTAGTTATATGTATATGTAGTTATATGTATATATGTAGTTATCTTTTCTTAAAGCCATTTTTCCCCCACAGGCCTCCCATTAATTTTCCGTCAGGACAATGGCAAAGCCGATGCTGCAGGTCAGTTTGAGGAGCATGAGTTGGCCCGGAGCCTCAGCCCATTACTCTTCTGCTACACTGATAAAGAGCAGCCTGCTATGTAAGTGTATTATTCAATATCGGATCTAGACAGCCTTACTCAGCAGTGTCAGCATTTTTTTCTCCTTTCTCTTTATTCAAGGTGCACTATGAGAATTGGGAAGGGAATCCACCCAGAAGGAGTTCCAGGTTGGTGCCAGGGCTTTTCCCTGGATGGAGGCAGTGGAGTCAGAGCTGTGAAGGTCATACAGCACGGAAACAGGCCTGGCCTCATCTACAACATAGGCAAGTGTGGACCGTAAGAATCTGAAAACAAGGAGTGTGTGATTTACTAATATTGATTTACCGGAATCAGCTTTCATATTAAGCCTCAAAACACACAGGATTTAATGATTATTTACTGAGTATTTTCTGATGGACTAAACATAGACTTTTACAGCAAAGTGTTTAGACCACTCAGTGAAAAATGTTTATTTCACAAAACTGGACTCAAATGTTGCTGACATGTTGCTGGTTATATATAAACTTGAAGTCAATAAACATTATTCTGTATGTAATTAAAAAACAGGAATTAAGGTTTATTAATATTGTGGCTGTGTAAAAACTGAGGGCATTAAACATATAAAGTACAGTGGGGCCTTGAGATACAAGCTATCTGAAATACAAGTTTTCCAAGTTATACGGGAAAACATCGAGTTACAAGTGCTCAACCGAACTCCATTTTTCCACTCGTTGGAACTAATTAATTGGTTTTAGTGATTTTTAATGGGGAAAATGCAAACGAGATACGAGTTCTGTTGTGGAACGGATTAAACTTGTATCTTGAGGCCCCACCGTATAACTTCATTTTCAAAGTGGTTTTAAAATTGCTTGTAAAGTAGAAATATAGCATTCAAATCATCTTTAAAATCTTGAATTCAACCAGGAAAGCTCATTGTTCACATCAGTAAATGGTCAACTATCTATTGCCTGTTCACTGCAGGTATCAGTGTAAAGAAAGGTAAAGGACGCTACAGAGACACTCACATGGTGACCTTTGCTCCACGCTACCTGCTGGACAATCGCTCTTCACACAAACTGGCCTTCGCTCAGAGGGAGTTTGCAAAAGGAAAGGTAAAAAAAAATCCATTATATGTTAATATAGTACAGTAAGTAATTCAGTGAATCCTTCATCAGATGTCATCAGTATGTCAAATAGCTGTCAGTTCACATCAGAAGCACTGAACAGTTGTGTTCGTTGAAGGGTACGGCCAACCCAGAGGGCTACATCTCCACCCTGCCTGGCTCCAGCGTTGTTTTCCACTGGCCTCGTAACGACTACGACCAGCTGCTGTGTGTGCGTCTCATGGACACTCCCAACTGCACGTGGTCAGGAGGCTTCGAGGTCAACAAACCAAAGTCTTTTCATATTAACATGAGGTGAGTGGAAGAGTAAATATGCAGTGAAGCAGTTGTACTATTTATTCGTACAGTGTGTTGGGGACTGTAGTTTAATAAGAACTGGCCTCTAGGTGTCCTCTGTGGCATCCTCCAAAACATTTGTTTAAAATATAATGCAACTGCTGTGCTGGTGTTATTAAACCTAGATGTTAGACAAAAAAAGAGTTCCATTGCTTGATAAGAATTCACTGAGGTCAAAGATTTTGAAGGTAAAGGTCAGAAGATTGTAGACTGTCAAGTAAATACCATATATTTTTAGAATTTTGCAACATTTATATTTAACATTGATCTTAAAAAAATAAATAAAAAAACTTTCTTTTTTGTATATCAAATAAAAACTTGTTTTGTCTCATGGTGGCATGTTTTATTACCACACTACATGAGTGGACTTATGGAATGGAAACTTAAAGGTGTCTTGTATGTTCTACTGATGTGAAATAGTCACAACTGTCTTGTTTGAAACAGGGACACTCTGGGGAACTGTTTCTTCCTGCGAACAGAGGTCACTCTAAAGGGAGCCACCTATCAGATCTCCTTCACTGACACTGACCAGCTGCCCCCACCCTTCCGCATTGACAACGTGTCTGAGGTGAGTCGATCTTTCTAAGATGACAGCTTAAAAAACTTCTCCCTGATTAGTAGAAACATCAACAATTCTTGGTATTTAAGGTCAGTCACAGAAGAAACATGTATCGTAATTATTCCCCTGTTTGAACTTTGCAGGTTCCAATCCAGTTCTGGCAGCACGGTGTAGTCGACATCCGGCTACACACTGAAGTGAAGGCCGGTTCAGTGCTGGACTACGCCTGTGACGAGCCCACACTTCCTCCATACCTCACTCTTATTGTGAAGGGAGCAGGATCGTCTGAGGTCACAGCCGACATGAACTACTTCAGAGAATACAACAAACTTTACTACGAGAACTTCATCTATATCGCAGCGTCGCACACTTTCAGGCAGTAAGAATGACCCATGAGAATTACTCATGTATATGAAATTGAAGTTCAGG